CAGACTGGAAAAGTAGGTCAGATAAGATAAGCTATCTTTGGAAATCCTGGTACTAGTTGAAAATTCAAATATATTAAACTAAAACCAAACATACCGCCCACCTAAATGCATATTTACAAAATCGTACACTAAGAGGCAAATCACACAATAAAAATTGATCGTAAAAACCTAATTATTCAAACGTTAAGCTAGGAATGGGTATCGGAAGGAGGTAAGGGTACCAGCTTATGGACAGGTCTCACATATATTCCGTGAGGTGTCTTAACCTTTGCGGCTCTAACTGTAGCATCTGGTCCAGGGTATGTCTCAATCACTCTTCCAATAGGCCATTCCAGAGGGCTGCTGTCCTTGTTTTGAAGGTATATAACATCTCCGACTTGAAGATTTGGCTGTGATGTAGTCCATTTATTCCTGGGTATCAATGTTTGTAGGTAGTCTTGAGACCATTGCTTCCAAAACGATTGTGCAGCTTGTTGTAGGAGTTGATATCTTTCCAAACGATTCATCTTAGTTTCCGTGAAGTCCTCTTCAGGTGGTGATAACAACGGCGTTCCTACAATGAAGTGTCCAGGGCTTAGGTAGTCTCCATCATTTGGGTCAGTGGTCATTGCTCCTATTGGGCGACTATTTAGAATGGCTTCAATTCTTGTCAGTAAGGTGTACATTTCTTCATATGTTAATATCAGGGTACCGATAGCTCGGATGAGGTGACGTTTTGCTGATTTGACTGCAGCCTCCCAAAGGCCTCCAAAATGGGGTGCTGCCGGGGGGATAAAATTCCATTTAATTTCTTTTGAAGCTAGGTGATGTGCTATGTCTTGATTATTGTCTTTTAGAAATTTCTGAATGTGAGAAAAATAGTTCGCGGCTCCTTGGAAATTGGTTCCGCAGTCACTTGTTATTGATTGGCAGAGACCTCTTCTGGCAACAAAACGATCCAATGCAGCAAGGAATGAAGGTGTTGATAAACTCGTTGCAAACTCAATGTGTACAGCTTTTGTCGAAAAACAAACAAAAATTACAATATATCCCTTTTGGCGGGGGGATTTTCTTCTATTACTTTCCTTAAATTCAAACGGTCCGGCGTAGTCTAGTCCAACATTTAGAAACGCACGTGTGCTTTCAAATCTGAGTGATGGTAGATCCGCCATTTTAGGCATTAAAGGTTTTGCTTGGAACATATAGCATCTTTGGCATTTAAATATACGCTCCCTCAATAACTGCCGTACTCCTACAATCCAAAACTTTTCTTGAATGAGAGACTGTGTCAAGCGGGGTCCTGAGTGTAAAGCTAATGAGTGATAATAATCACAAATGAGTGTCGCAAGGCGTGATGAACGGGGTATCAGAAAGGGGTGTTTCCTGGAGTAAGTTAAGTTAGCGTTTTTCAAACGACCGCCCACCCTGACGAAATCATTTTCATCAATGAATAAAGCTAAAGAGCGATATTTCTTAGAACATGGTTTATTATTTTTCATATCAGAAATATCTTTTGAGAGATAGCGTTGTTGTGTAGTCTTTACACAGAGAGATAATGTGTGTTCCAATTCCTGAGGTGATATTGGTCCTTGTTTCTTAGCTATACCTTTGGCGTTACTTTTGACGTTATTGATGAACCTTAATACATAAGAAATTAAAAATTTAGCTTTACTCAGGCTAGAATATTTTTCAAGCATTTCTAATACAATGCTGTTTTGGTTATCAACTGTTGTAGATAAACATTCTTTTCTAATCTCTGGCAACTTCTCTACTTCTTCTTCAGATGAACGGTGTAATGACCACAAATCAAAGGGAGTGTACAGAAATTGAGGTCCTTTCCACCACAAGTCAAAATTTACAAGCTCTTCAGGTGTCAAGCCGCGGGATGCGCAATCGCAAGGATTTTCTTTAGATGATACATGGTGCCACTGTTTTGGATTAGTTGACTCAAGTATATTTACAACCCTGTTTGCAACAAATGTTTTTAACTTGTAAGGAGGAGTTTTTAACCACATAAGAACAACGGCTGAGTCAGAAAACAATATGATATTCTGGGGGTCAACAGTCTGGGTTAGATGCGTACTAGATAATACAACTTCTGTTAGTAGTTGAGCAGCAGAAAGTTCTAATCTAGGAATGCTCATTGTTTTGAGTGGGGCAACTTTACTTTTCGCTTTGATAAGATGTACTGATATGTTTTCCGAGGTTTCAGTTCGTATATAGATATTTGCTGCGTAGCCCTTTTCAGATGCGTCACAGAATCCTATTATCTGATTTGTGCTGTGAGGAGTTGTAGGGATGAATCTAGGTATCTTTAGGGTTGAAAGACTTGAAAGGGTTGAAATAAATGTTGTCCATTTACTGCGAAGTTCATCTGGTAGGGGGTCATCCCACTCTAGTCCACATAACCATGTGCTCTGCATGATATGTTTGGCATAAAACGTAGTGGGTGTTATCCATCCTAAAATATCATAAATTTTAGCAATCTCAGAAAGCATTGAGCGCTTGGTACAAACTACAGGGTTAAGTTTAATTACATAGAAAAATACATCTTCAGCGGGATCAAACTGTAATCCAAGTACTTTAACAGCAGAGTCGTCTTCGGAGCGTAGGGCGAGGGGATTTTCTCTACAATCAAGCGGGACGCTGTCTAATATTTGGTGGCAATTACTGGCCCATTTTCTTAGGGTGAATCCTCCCAATCCCAGAAGTGTAATTAGTTCTTGCTGTTACTGAAGTGCTTCTTGAGGAGAATCAACACTGGTACAAATATCATCCACAAACGTTTGATGAGTGATAGCTTGAGAGGCGAGTGGGTATCTTTTGCCTTCATCTTCAACCAGTTGCAGTAATACTCTTTGTGCCAAATAAGCACTAGATGTTACACCATATGTCAATACGTTCAGCTCGTACTCATCTATATCTCCATTGGGATTTGTGCGGTAGAATATGTGCTGAAATGCTCGGTCTGTGGGATTCACAACGATTTGCCTATACATTTGTTTTATATCGGCACACACAACAATTTCATGTAGGCGAAAATTAGTTATTATCTCTCCTATGTCTCTTTGCAGCTTTGGTCCACTATACAGGATATCATTGAGGGAAGAGGAATTTGCATAGGGCTTAAAAGACGCATTAAACACTGTTCTCAACTTTGTTGTACTACTGTTCTCATTTTTTACACAATGGTGGGGAATGATATAAGGTGAGGGGTTGCTGGTGATACTCATATGACCTTGAGCTAGGTAATCATCCATAAACTCTCTATACTCCAGATAGGTTTCTGGTTTGCTTTTTAATCTGTTCTCTAGGCTGATAAGTCGTTTCTCTGCCTTATCTCTTGTGTTCGGTAGGTTGGGTGCATCAGGTTTCATTGGTAACGATACGACATAGCGGCCTGTTTTATCTCTGATATGTGTTTCTGTGAAATGTGATTCAACTGCAATATCATCTGGACTAGGATACTTCACATTTTGAACAGCTTCTACCTCCCAGAACCTTTTGAGAGTCTTATCAACTGATTCACAACAGTTTAAAAAATAAGAACATTCACTTTGACAGGAGGAAGTGGCCACTCTACCACCAACTATCCATCCAAAAATAGTGTTCATTGCAGAGGGTTCACCTTTTATGATATTATGCGACTCTTTTATTATATCGAAATACAAATCTGCTCCTATTAGAAATTCAACAGGCGAGCTTTCATAGAACGTGGGGTCAGCGAGCTGTAGATTATCAAATCTTGAGATGATTGTAGGGTCAATATCAATGTTTGGCTGATCGGATGATATCTTTGGGACTACAACTGCTTCAGTACTCAAAGATATATGAGAGTTCTTAAGAGGGCTTATGTTACATGTTACTGAACCTTTGTTCACTGGGACCTGGGTGTCTGCAATACCTTTGATGGTTATTTTATTTTGATGTTTGGTGAGACCTAACTTGAGAACACATTCTTGAGTAATTAAGCTAGTTTGGGAACCACCATCAATAATGGCTCGGACTGGTGTCAGTTTGTTATTTTTATCCCTTATGCCGATAATGGCTGTGCTTAACATCATGTTTGAGGTGGAATTTGCATCAGCAAAATTACAAGTTTTGGATGAGGAAGGATTATGTATTTCTTTCATGTCATTGGGTTTGGTTTCTAAGCTCTTTTCTCTTGAGAGATAGGGGCCTGCAGTTGCATTAGTAGCTGGACGATGCAAAAGGGTGTGATGCTTGCCATTGCATTTAAAACATTTGGAGGTTGATTTACACTCGGATATTGTGTGAAAACCAAGACAAGAAAAGCACAAGAAATGCTTTTTAACAAAATCATTTCTGTCAGATAAACTTAGTTTCTTAAACTTAGAACACACATAGATCTTATGGTTGGGTTCTTGGCAACAGGGACATACGTGGCGCTTTGCAGTTCCAGTTAAACCTTTTTCATCAACAGTTGACAGCATGAAACTTTTAGAACTACTTGGCTTAGGAGATGTATTAAGTCTATTTTGCTTTAGCTTTCCCTTGGATGTAGTAATTTCTAGGATTTTGAGTTGTTGCTGTACAAACGAAATTAGATCCTCAAATTCTGGTACATCTTTATCAGAATATTCATTTTCAAATTCTTTGCGGGATGACGATGTTAGTGAATGTAAACCAATGTGTAACATTGTAAAATCAAATAAATTTGACAATCCAAGAGCCTTTAGGGCGCACAGATTTGCGCTAAAAATTTCCAAAAAGTTTGATAAGGTAACAGTAGAATCTTCAGTGAGAGGGCGGAAGGATAAAATCTTATCGAGATAGTTTGATGCCAAGAGACGTTTATTCTGATAACGATCAGTGAGAGTTCTCATTGCAATATCATAATTCTCATCACATATTACCAAGGTTTCAATGAGTGAAAGCGCATGTGATTTCAATAGACTGCGTAGATAAGTGAGTTTTTCACTTTTAGATAAGGATTGATTTTTATGAATCAAAGAAGTGAATAAAGCATAAAAATTAGGCCAAGCTGATAAGGTTCCATCAAATGGTTCAATTTCCAATTTAGGAAGGCGAGCTACCTGGGGACTATGGACAGGAGATTGCTTATCAGCAGATAAGTCAGTCTTTGTTTGCTGCAAATGCTTATCTACATTCAACTTTCGCCCAATGGTTTTAACATTAAAATACAAATCATCATAGGACATTGATGCACTATGAACCTCTACTCTATCTCCTTCATCTACTTGAGAGTTTAACAAACTAATACTGTCACTTGTTTGTTCAAACACAGAATAATCATCCTCTAATCTTTGATAACGTGATACAAAAGAATCAAACTCTGTATTAAAGGATTGTTTTTGCTGAGCAAGCTGGATACATTTTTTACCAACGTCATAGAGAGCTTGTAACCTTGCATAATACTTTTCTCTCTTTTTGACTAGAGAGTCGATTTCGGCTTTCTTTAAAGCTGCCATTTTAGCTGGTGAAGGAAATATAAGGGCTAAGGTTTAAGATAGGAATGCTACAAAAAAAACCTAAATACTGTAAAACTTTACTTTTACTTCTCTCCTTTGGTCTAACTTTATAAATTACTAGAAATTCAGAATCCGGCTCGAAGGACCATTTTGTTGGGGGCGGGTTCAAAGGAGAGAATGAGAAAATTTTTACTGAGTAGTGAAAGAGAAATTCAAACTTTAATTTACAAAATATATTTTACATATGGGAACATGTCAGAGTAATACCAATTAATTAAATGAGTATGTAAACAGTTACTTGAGATTTGAGTCCTTGGGTTTGGTAGAGATGCCTGACGGTAGACTGAAGCGGGGAGCGAAGATCACCAGGGGCGGACAGTCTTTGAATGGGTGAATCTTCTCCAGGAGCGGGTAGATGAGGGGATTCCGCGTAGCCGTAGAATCCGTAGAAGGTAGAAGGTCACAAAATCATTTAGAGGTCTTCCCGTCACAACACTTTGGTATTTTTACAAATTAAATGGCACTCTCTGACATTTAGAAGGGGGAGATATTATAAAACACATACTTTAATAATTACATGTTAAACGTTATTAGTTCACTTTAAAACAGTCAAAATCTAATCTACTATATACAAGAGAATGAGCAAGGAGTACATGTTGACTCTGGGTTAACTAAGGCAAGAGTGGACAGTGCAGACTGGAAAAGTAGGTCAGATAAGATAAGCTATCTTTGGAAATCCTGGTACTAGTTGAAAATTCAAATATATTAAACTAAAACCAAACAGTAAGAAACTCAAAATGATACAGGCATATTTTGTGTAACAAAAAATAGAAAATATCCTCAAAAAAGCACAATTTTATTGTAAACTTGATGATGACAGGCAGGGAAAACTTTATGAATGTTACAAGTATGTTCTTATCAATTAAATGAAAAACATAACATTCAAAGTATACAGAAAAAGATAGAGTATACAAAAAATTAAGTGAATGATGTGTTTTGTTTTCATTTCCAAAATATGATCTTTATCTCATCAAAGAGTAGAATCTGTATGAATTACGTTCTTCATTGTTGTGATTCTCTTTAGATGCTTAGTACCACAATAACTTATATTATTAAAAGGCACTTGTTTGAACAACAAAGCTACTGACATTGAGCAAAGATTACTGTCAGAATCGGACCACCTGTGCACATACTTTAACGGGATATACAGCCGCTTGTGTAACTCACTGACTCACTGATCATGAAGAAAAATTCTTGTTTTGCCCTCTTCTAGAATAGCTATGGATCTGAAATTTTTTGTGGAGGTCCGTCTCGGTCCAAAACCCAAAAATAAATCCCTTAAATCCCTCTTTTTTGAGAAAAACAAGTTTAAACGGTAAGAGCTAGCAAAGATTTGAAAAAATGTAAATGGTCAGGAATTAAATTTTGCGTTTTTTGATGGCAAATAAAAAATTTTTTACAAGACACTCCTTTACCTTCAAAAAACGCCCTACTACTAAAATTTGTAAAATGTCTTGGATTTTTGAAGTGAGTTTTTAATTTTTTAAATTACTTTTTGGCCTTCTATTTGTACTTTTAATGATCCCAAAATTGGAAGAAAAGTGCTAAAGTAACATTTTAAATTTGTAGCCCACTAGAAAATTTTTAAATGGCGGATTTCAATCAAAAAGGTTGTTTTTTTTACGCTTGTTGGTCCAAACCATTGTGCACAGGTGGTCTGATTCATCTGTTTACACTGTAAAACGTAAGTGTTCCAATGAAAAATGTGACAAATAGGTAGAAATAAGTTAAGGGAACTGTAATGTAAGCCTGTTTTCTAGTTGAAAGTTTTACTTTTACCATTTATGTCAAAAATTAAATAAGAGAAATCATTATGAAACACAGAATAATGGCTTGTCCAGTAAACTTATTAAGTCTGGTAACTAAAAGATATTTCAAGCTGTATTAATCAGTACTTCCGCTACTTTTGCAATAACTTTTTAGAAGACATTCAACAATCTACCACTTTCATTAGTTTGACACCGCTAAAGCCCAGAGTGAGCCAGATTTGGATGACATATTATAACATATTAAGACATATTATGTGATCACTCAAAGGGATGAGTCTTAGCTATATCCAGTCCAACCAGATAGCAACCGACAAAAACACTTTCATACACACACTACACTAGTATATTACACACATAATGCATTTATGCGTATGCCCTGCCCTCCAAAACCTGCAAGCAGTCCAGGTACAGGGTGACCTCGATCTTGATAGTAACATTCCATTTGAATCACAATTGTGTAAAAGTTGTAGAATTACATCAGCGCTTTACCAACGCCACCTGGGCAAGTAAACATCAACAGATAAACCATTCTCCTCGTGGTAAGTCTGTCTTCTTTACATTATAGTTATATTCAGACTCTTCTCGGCTGTTTCAATACAACACGTCAAAGGTTTATCCTGAAGGTCAGGATTTACACAGATTATTGGACCAGTAGGACACCAGCTGATGATCTTGTGGTTTTACTCCCAGAGCTACCAACAGCGAAGCAGCATTTTCCATCCGTGTCAGGTGTACCAGCTTGGCAATGCTGGAAAAAAATCAATGTGAACCAGTGATAAAATGATTAAGAATGTAAATTTCAGAACTAAACTGGAAGAGATGGCACAAGTTTATTCTGATATACATGAACTCTAGACATTAAATCTTTTTAACCTTTTTTATATTAAGCATTGTTATTTGTTCACGTTCAAATGATGTCCATATAAAGATCTCCATTGAGCTGCCTTTGAGGAGAAGCTAGATCAAAATTGAATCCAACGCCATGTTCATCACTTTATCCACTACTATTCCAGCTGGTTTTAATGTGACGATAAGTCTTGTAATATTAGCCAAAAACTTTATCAAAAAATTGATGCTCCTGCCAAGTACGAGTCACGTTCTTTGATTAGATTTCTGTGGTCTAAGGCATCAGCCTCTATTGAAATCCGTTACAGATGAGTAGCAGAAAGTTTTAAGATGCATTAAATGAGCATAAATGTCTCAGAATTTAGCAGAAGGCTGTACAAATTTGCACAACAAGGCCAGCAAGGGGTGATCATTATCCATCGGAACATTGGTTCAAGTTAAGGAAACTTGACTTGCCGATCGGAGAGTTTATGATCACTAGGATTTACCATTGTCCTTTTACATCCCCAATCAGTTCAGCAATTTCTAATTCGGTCAGATTTTGATCTGCATGCAAATGTTCTCTAGCTTGGTTACTGCCTCTAATGAGACTCATGAGACTCTCTTTAACACAAAATTTAACCTGCAATACACCAACGTATATTTTAAAGCTTGAAAATCTTCTGTGGTGCCCATTCATAATAAATGGGAGTTTTAATGTTTCCAAAATATCACGATAAAAATCAATCTTATGGTTAGTATTGAATATATTTCAATGTTTGATAGCTGCCTCTAGTCAATCTTAGGTGTATTATGGGATATATTATTGTACGTACTGCATCCACTCTTGTCTGTAGCTTTGCAGGTGATAAGTCAAAGCTTTTCCTCTTAACAGTTCACAAGCCAAGGCTTTCAAAATCTTGCTTAGTAAAGTTGGATCTGTAAAAATTTAGAATATTCAGATCAAAGAAAAATAAGATGAAAATTAAATAGTCATTTGTGTAACTAGTCTGGGAAGTAGCACTTTGCTGCACATGAGAGAATCGTATATGCACGAGCCGCAGGTTAGTGTGGAAAGTTTCTCAAGTGAAGCAAAAGCACTTTGCACTCACGTTATACATTATATTTTTCCTACAGTATATAAATCACAAATAAATAATTAGTCTTTCAAACACTATACAACAATTTTTTAGGATAGGTTAAACACAAGTGTTAAACGAAGAGGGATACGCTGTACCAAAAGATCGTAGTCATAGTATATTTAAGTGTTGTCAAATTATTGTCAAGCGTATTACATATTAGCGTATTACGTATTACATGCCTAATAAAAAGCATCCTGTTTTGTGTTTTTTTTTGGAATACTGGAGTGCGGCAAAAGTAAAATGAATGTGGCAAAGGTAAGTAAATACAGCAATTAGCTACTTTGCATGTTATAATCAGTACAAGAACGCCCGCTTTGTAAGGTAACTGTAGGAAAAGAATTTTGAAACAAAATTTATAGAAATGTGCTTAGAGAGGAAACGATATTCTAAAGCAAAAGGGTTGAGCTTGTTTGCAAGACCTGTGGTGATACAGGGTGGGGCAGGGAAGTATCCCTAATTTTGAAGGTGCATTTAAAGACAACCAAAAATGTAGGGACCAAACTTTTTATTGAGATTAAAAGGTCACGTCTGGGAGTTTATTTTAATATAACTTAACTTGGTTTTAAACAGCATATCCTGCAAGTGTTGTCCCTAATCTTAAATGCATTGCTGTATTCTGGTTCTGGAGCTCATAATAACTTTGTGAAGCATTTGTTGTGGAATGCGGCAAAATTCAAGGTGAATTGCATCCTTTAAGGCATCTAGGGTCTTCCCTTGAACTACCCTAGGCTTAGCATCACTCCAATAGAGCACATTATGCTTATTTACCGCTCCAGAAATATGGAAGTGTGCCTCGTCACTAAACAAAACCCGAGCAGCATGAGGTAGTCCCGCAATTAAGATTTCACATGCCTGCATTCGTTTGTTGCCAGTCCCGTTGTGTGAGTTCATGAGCAACTACCCTCATGTATAGATGGATGTGTAGGTCCTCATGGAGAATACGAGGCACAGTATGACTAGAAAACGCCAGCAGGGATGCATGCTTACAAGCAGAACTTTAAGGAGACTGCTAAATCGATCTTCTGACAAGGTCAATGTTTTCAGGACCCCGGACGGTTCTTTGAGCTCTAAATATCCTTCGCAATACACCACCAAATACACTAAAGTAATTCACCCAAACCAAATTGTAACAGCTTTGCGACAGGCCACCCGATAATAAGTTTGCAGCCAACGGTAGCTGCACAGCAACAATAGAAAGATTTTTGAAAAAAATACATCTCGAGTGCAAAAGCACTTTGCTCACTCGAACAAGCCATGTCTACTACTGAAAGTGATATTCTTAGAAATTCCCAAAACAAAAGCTTCATTTGAGCCTAACCCCATTCCTCCTGCACACCCCCACTACTCACAGTGCCATCTTAAAAGTAGGGATATTTCCCTGCCCCACCCTGTATTTTCAAAAATAAGTAATTTCAAAATAAACTTTAACTTATTTACCAAACAAATACTACTCAGTGAAACACAAAGCGTACAAATTATATAATGTTATAACAAGTATTATTCACATGTGATATACTTACATTTGGCTGGCATGATGGCAGTAGTCTTGGCAGACACACATCCCTGCACCATGTCTACCCTCACAATGTTGTGGCAAGGACAAGGTACTGCTACTTGAGTGCTGACACCTAGCAAGCCACACTCCCCTGGCTCTAGGTACTCATCACAGTCAGGCAATGTTCTGCACCAATCACTTGGCAGTAGCTCCTGCAACGTTCAAATATAAGACAGCTACTTGAGTGCTGACACCTAGCAAGCCACACTCCCCTGGCTCTAGGTACTCATCACAGTCAGGCAATGTTCTGCACCAATCACTTGGCAGTAGCTCCTGCAAAGTTCAAACATAAGACAGCTACTTGAGTGCTGACACCTAGCAAGCCACACTCTCCTGGCTCTAGGTACTTATCACAGTCAGGCAATGTTCTGCACCAATCACTTGGCAGTAGCTCCTGCAAAGTTCAAATATAAGACAGCTACTTGAGTGCTGACACCTAGCAAGCCACACTCCCCTGGCTCTAGGTACTTATCACAGTCAGGCAATGTTCTGCACCAATCACTTGGCAGTAGTTCCTGCAAAGTTCAAACATAAGACAGCTACTTGAGTGCTGACACCTAGCAAGCCACACTCCCCTGGCTCTAGGTACTTATCACAGTCAGGCAATGTTCTGCACCAATCACTTGACAGTAGCTCCTATCAGGTTCAAAAATTGCAGTGCAAGGTTATAGTCAAACAGTTTGACCAAAGCATAGTTTGACCATGGTAGCGCAAATGTTGAAATGTGTGTCAAACCATAGCCACTCTAATACACAAGGCCCAACTTTCAAACTGGCAACGTTGCAATCACCCCCCACCTGGGTCCGGCACACACGCTAGGCTATTTAACATCAATGAGAGTATTGCTGTTTTCGCTGCTGAATGAATGAATGAAAGTATGTAAATTAGGTACATAAATTAATGAATTTTAGGGTATGGTAAAATTTTAGTAATTGTCTACAATTAGAATCAAGGTAGCTTATTTATTTGGTGAAGAAATACAACATAGAACAATATGTCTAAAACTAAAAACGTTTTAAAATACAAACATAATGTTTTTATTTGGTTGTATTTATTGTATTGTAAGTACAATGAATGTGGAAATGTGGAAACTGGAAACTTTGCATATTTTCTTTGTTAATTTGATAATTTTGAATAAAATCTCTGTAAATGGATTTTAGAGACAACAATTTTTCAAATAAAACTATTTTTAATTTGTAATAGGAGTATTATATCTGTACGTGCATACCTTCAATTCGAGACCTCAATCATGAAAATCGGTCTGATAGAAGAGCCAAACGAACTCGGCAAAGAAAAACCAAATTTAACTCCCATAAGAAATACATGGGAAGCAAATTTCGTTTACGTATATGCCAAGAGGGATTATAGATACATTTAGCCAATGCTTGATGGCAAATCTGTGCGTGCATACCTTCAATTCGAGACCTCAATCATGAAAATCGGTCGGGTAGAAGAGCCTAACGAACTCGGAAAAGAAAAACCAAATTTTTTTAATATATAAGATAGGAGTATTATGTTTTAGCCTACCTGAGGAAGTAGCAAATTTTGTTGTAGCTAGCTATACAACAAAATTTGAAGTTTTATTTTCATGTTTGAAGGCATACTGACTGAATGATTATTTTCTTTAAATAATTATTAAGCAAAATATTTGCCATTTTGTAAACAATTTCAGAAGCTAGGCATTCATATGGCTTTCCAGTCTTTCCACAATATTTATTGAGTTGTTGTATCAAATCAACATTCAGACTGGAGTGGACTCTGATGATTGCATTGTAAGATGGTGTAGTACATATTTTTTACTAGTAGGACTACTTAACAGAAACACTGGTTTATTTATTAGAAAACCTAGTTAAGTAAGTTATTTTGTTCAATTAACAGCAGCCTTTAGTCGCGCTTCTCTAGTCTATATTTACACCAATCACTGTCTTTTATTCTTATACTTTTCCTACAAAAATAAGGTCATCTTCGTGGAAATGCTTCACGCTAACAACAGAATTGTTTGACGGTATCCAATCTGACCGAGGAATAGCAGAAAGCTATTGTTGCTAATGTGGAATATTAAAACATTGTTTGTATCCTTAAGTTTTAATTGAGCTTTTGTAATTACTCTTGCACCCAGGCACAACACATATATCTGGCATGCTGTAGTAACAAGTTCAATATCATTACTAATGATTAAAGGTAGTAGAAGTGCGAATAAGTACACGACTCCTCCATTCACTGTAATGGTAAAACGATCGTGCACCAAGACTCAGATGCGACGTTGCCAGTTTCCGCTCACTGCGGCCTTGTGTACTAGAGAAGGCTATGGTCAAACTAATTCAAACATCTAGAAAGCTTATAAAACAAATATTGACTATCATTAGCTAAGCCTAGAACAAAAACAGGCAAAATACTATGTTGTTATTACCTTGAATGTAGTAACTGTGGCTTTGACAAGGTCGGGTATATCACCCCGCACAATAACCTGACGACCTTCTATGATATGGAGAGCTGCCAAGTCAAACACCTGAGCTCCCAGGAACACTCTCAGGGATTTGAGACTGCCTTCCTCTACAACACGACACAATTATTGGACATCAGTTATCATGATAAAGCAAAAACACCCAAACAACAATAATTTAACATTGTGAAAATACCCTCTGTTTTTGTCATTAAGGTAAGCCTGATGTTAAACCTATCCATTACAAAATCCTTGAAAACACTGGTCTAAAGCAATCTCGACCAAAAACTTCATATTCTTAGAGTGCAAGGTAAGGTGATATACCTTCATCTATTTGCGTCTTGTTTGATATCTTAACACGTTCGCTACTGAGCGTCGCATGGTCATTGCCACAGACCAAGGTATACGTTTGAATCTTACACACAGACCGGCTGTCACTTGGATAACAGTACACACAGACCACGGGCAAAAACCTGTAAAACAGTGGTCATTTACATTGTAATACGCTACAATTGTGTTTGTAAATAAATTATTCTTTTTTTTTGTATTTTTTATAATCTTTTGTAATGTCGCATATTTGCGACGCCCAGTCTACAGCGAAGACAATAGTGAAAATTATCATAGTTTTATTGAAATAGACTAAACATTGCATATGTGAGACAGTTTATTTTTTGTGTTTTAAAGTGAAAGTGAGTAAAAAAATAAACAGATTATTCAAGAACAGTTTATAACTGAACAAATATAAAAGCTACATAGGATAATGCAGCATACATACTGCATAAATACATACAGTGATGCAGAGAAGTAAATACCAGTTTTTCCAACTATTATATGACGTCACCAATCATCACATCCACAGACCAAGCGACGCAGTTGTGCGTCAGACATCTCTGTAGACCACTGCTGGGAATTCAGTGCCTTCAAATAGACTACTACAAAGATATAAGCATTTTAATAACATTAGAACCCCGACGCAAACATGCGTTGGCAGTCTGTTTTAATGTGACCAGACGTCGCATATATGCGACGGCAGTCTATGGGTGAAAACCGGCCGTCGCATATGTGCGTCGCTGGTCCATGTGAATGAAAAAATTCGTACTATTGCAGTAGCGAACGTGTTAATAATATTTTATCATTGGAAACGTGAAAGTGTTCAAAACCATTAGAGTAACTCACCAAAGACATGTTGAGCTTGTAACCGATAGTATGGAGAGCGAGGAATTGCTTCTGATAAGCGAGAGTTGCAGGCATGAATCATCCAGGCAAACCAACAATGCAGCCTGCACAGATCAAACACTACAGTAAGAAGATAACTCACAACTACTCAGCAACTATTTTGATTCCTGATTTTATAAATGTTATTAACATGTTAACAAATTTTACTATTGGCCTAAAACCGGTTCAAAACTGGCAAAAAATAAATATTTTGAAACATGCTTTTTAATTTTGAATTCAGAGTAAAACTATTACTTAAATAAATGAATAAAAGATATTTAAGTGCATTATAATAACGTAAATCAATTTTTAAACCATCAAGACATTATTTCAATACGTGTTGTAGATAATATATTTCCAGTTTTGTGACATTAGACAGTTGATAATCACTAACCTTAACTTGGTCAAGACCCAATAAATAATTCAACGAAAGGGCGATATAGGCAAGCGCCAAATATCTGTGACAACGCAATGCTTGATTCGCCCGTTCCTATGACGTCACACGGTTGCCATGGCACGGATAGTGCGCACTCGCCACTGCCCCACATGTAGGCAGGGAAAAAGCAAAAAATGGGAAGAGAGAATGACTTTGCAACCTTGAATGACGAGAAAACTAAATCGACGAGTCATCACAGACGCCAAGCTGTCTGCTGTGTGAATTACAAAATATTTTAGTCTAGGCCTAACTTGTACTGGAATTAAGAAATAAATAATTAATTATTGGTATTTAAAAAACAAATTGTTCATTTTGTATGCTTTTTTCCACACATTTCCTTAGTTTTGTCTTATTAATTAAACAGCACACTCTTTAATCCCTTTCTTCTATAATCTTGGCACAAATAATTAATTGTCTATCCTTCTTATGATTCTATTCCTATTTCTTTACCTCCATTTTGGTAGATCTCTTTTGTCACGTAGCTTTTTAACCCGTGCACACCACAGCTTTCATTTTCTCACCTTAGTACAGTTACGCTCCTAGTATACCGTCATTGTGATGATTTTGAGTTGCAATTTAAATTTAACCGTTTGTCTGTCAGCTCCGTTGTAACTGTAAGGACCAAGGATGTGTACAGTGACAGTGAAATGTCGGGCAAGTAGAGTAAACGTGCAGTGCTATCAATTCAACAAAAACTGGGAAAGATTGAAAAATTTGAAAAGGGTAAGACAGTGAAATCATTTTCTGATGAGTACAACGTTGGGGTACAAAAACGTTGTTCGGGACATCATAAAAAAAGAGGGCAGAACTGTTGAAATTTGCAAGTTCAGCAGACTCAGCTTCTGCTTGGAAAAAATTGAAAAACTAAGAAATCGACTTACGATGACTTAGACAAAGCCATGCTCGATTTGTTTCCACAGCTAAGTGCTTTAGGGTAGCCCATAAACGTTGTAGTTTGTACTGAAAAGGTAAAATTCTTTTTTGAAGCTATGGGTATCAAAGGAGAGTTTTGGGCATTATCTGGTGGTTGGCTCTATCGTTTCAAGCAGAGACATGGCATCCGGGAGTTGGAAATTCAAGGCGAGGCTTTAGGTGGAGATAAAGATGGTGCAACCCGTCGTCATCGGAAAATCTAAAAACCCGCAATAGTTTAAAGGAACGGAAGCAAAAAAACTTGCCAGTTAATTAATTTAATCCAGTAAAAGGCTGAATGAACCAGGCCATGTTCAAAGAATGGTTCAACAAAAAGATGGTACCACAAGTGCAGGACAAGTCAAAAGGGCTCACTGAACCCCCCCCCCCCCCCAAACTAACACTCAAGGCTGATGATGGCAACACCTTGGTTAAGTATTTACCACCAAATTTTAGCCGCTTTGATACAGCCAATGGACCAGGGGATAATTGCGAGCCTCAAAAGGCTGTAAAGAGCCGCAGAGCTCAAAAGGTTTGGGGAGGAAGAAGACAATCTGAGGACATTTTTGACATTGACTCTACTTGAGGCTGTTTATGAGTCTTGTTTGGAGTGGGAAATAGTAAAAAATCTTATCAGGTCGTGGGGAAAAATATTTCCAGTCATCAGTGAAGATGAAGGCTTCCACAGTTTTACAACCGAATATATCAAACGAAGAGTTAAATATTTTTAAGGAGTTAGGAGATAAGGCTTTTTTCAAGTGTGAAACGTGCCGGTCGTCATCCGCAACGATGCCGCCGCCGTCGTCTGCTCCCTGCTCAGCAAGTTCTGTGAAAAATGACGATGAATGTGATGTACCATATTCTGATGACTCATTTCAATCTCTCTCGGATAAAGTGTGCAATTTAATTATCACGCAAAATAAGATGAGTGAGCAAATTATGTTTTTACTCAGTGAAAATGACAAGCTGAAGAACGGACTGAAACACCAGTCTGAAATCATTGGTGATATCGTTTTTGACAAGTCTACTAATAACACGTATGCTAGCAAACTAAAATCACAGAATTTAAAGAGAGGTGAAGGTAGTATTCAAAATCTAACTTCCTTAAATTGTAATCTTATCGATAAGGATATTCTTAAACCTAACCCTAGTATGCTTGACAGTAATGAAAATGTCAACAACAACAACAACAACAACGTTGAACAGACAGCTAGTGACAAATCTGTTGTTAGTGGTCATAGAGTAAAAGAGTCGACTATGACGAGCTCGTTGCTTCGAAACCCAGAAGGCCGACCGGCTACATCCAAGTCTGAATCTGCAGCAGCGGAGTCAAATAGGAGTGAGATGGCAGCTGAATCCGATTCGTTCCAGACAGTCTCCTATCGGAAGCGAAATATGCGTCGTGACTTTCAACAACATCAACAGAAGAGTCAGAATAATGGAGGCCGTGGCGTTGGGAATGTCAGTTACAGACAAAATCAAAACAATAACAAACCTAAATTTATTACTGGAAGTTCAAGTGCAGCTGATGGCGATAGGCTTAAAACTGCCGAAAAGAAGTCGTTCCTGTTTGTATCTAGGCTATCACCGGACACTGACTCTAAGGATTTGGAATCTTTCCTATTAGAAAAATTTAGCAATGAATCGTTTAAAGTAGAATCACTAAATTCTAAGTACCCGGAGGAATACTGTTCATTTAAAGTCACCATTCCTTCCAGGATTGACGAAGTAGTGTATAAACCTGACTTCTGGCCGAAGGGAGTGTTTGTGAACAGGTTTGTTGTCAAGAAATCTTTAAACTTACAGGACAAACGAGTTGTACCTCCAATGTGACTGACTTTGAAAACCAGGTAAGCACTGACGTAGCCAACCCTTGTGCACATATAATTGACGTAGGCCTAGGCCTAAACAATTTTAACTTCAATACCTTGCTATGGAACTGCCGTAATCTTTGTGACAAGGTCAACTTCGTTGAAATATTTGCTAATGACGAAAACAGTGATGTTGTTTTTATTACTGAACATTGGCTTTTGGATTCTGACATAAAATCATTACATCTAGAAAACTTTACACTATGTTCAAGCTTTAGTAGGCCTCGGTTAGAAAGAGGAGGTTCAGCAATATTTATTAGGGACAACAAAGCTATTAATTGGTCTCCTGCGCCTATTATTACCAGTTTAGCCTTGGTAAATGTCTTTGAAATTAGTGCTCTCTTCCTAGACAATCCGAAGATTTTATTGGTGTGCATTTATCGAATTCCAGACAAAGACAATACTGAGTTATTCTTGCTCAAATTCGAAGAACTTTTAACTGTAACAGCATCCTTGGAATGTGATGTTCTTATAGCTGGTGACTTCAACATCGATGTTAAAGATAACGTGTCTCACGTCTGTCAAGATTTTTGTAACTTAATTACAAGTTTTGGGCTCAACATTATGCTAAGAGACGAAGTAACTCGACCCAGCCTTTTAAATATGCTTGATGGTTCGTGCATTGACAATTATGTAACCAATTTGCATCCCTCGAGGTGGAAGGCTACTGTTATTCCGACTACGGCGTCTGATCACTACATCGTAAGTTCATCTATGTGTTTGGACTTGGCTCCTGCTTCCACACAGTCACATCCTCCGAGGTCCATGGGTGCGTCACAGTCCAGGCGCAGGGTGTCAGACAATAACGCTGGTGTTTTTTGTAATCATATCAAGGATACAAACTGGAATGAAATCTACAGCGTAGATGATGTAAATACTAAGATATTGTTATTTCTTAATCTAGTCATTATTTTTGTAAATTGTTGTTTTCCTTACGTTAGGCCAAGATCTGCTAAACCACGCAAACACATTGGTAATTGGTATACTGGTGAACTTAGGAAGTTAAAAGAAGAATGTTTGAATTATTTTTATCTAAGTAAAGATACTGGTTGTGAAGCTTTTAAGGTTAGGTACAAGTTATTAACTAAGATCTATAATAAGAAAGTAAAGGAAGCTAAGTTATTGTTCAATAACTCATGTATTTCTAATGCCTGCAACAAGCCCAGGGTAATGTGGAATATCATTAGAAAAAATATCTCAACAAATGAGCGCCCAGTTGTTATATTACCAGATGTTGATTCACCTTTAAACTCAGAAAATTTTAACTCTTTTTTTGTAAGTAGTATTGATGATATTGTTGATAACATTCCTGTTAGTTTAACCAGTGCCGATGAGTATATGTCTAGTGTTCCTTTGTGTAATGTTAAATTTGAATTTTGTGAGGTATCAGTAGAATGTGTACATAAAGCTATTTTGTCTTTAAGCAGCAGCAGCAGTCTTGATATTTTTGGTTTAAGTTCTCAGATTCTAAAGTTTGGTAGTGATTATTTATGTGAAGTCATTGCACACATCATTAACTCCTGTATTACGGGAAAAACTTTCCCAGACAAACTTAAAATTTCTAAGATAGTGCCAATATTTAAAAAAGGTAATAGATTGGATGTTAGCAATTATAGGCCTGTGGCCTTGGTGCCCACTCTGTCGAAGGTCATTGAGAGGGTGCTTTCATGGCAAATAGTTAACTTTATGGATTCAAACGGTTTGCTTTCGTGTGCGCAATTTGGTTTCCGCAAGCACCGATCCACTACGGAGGCGGTCTTAAATTACATTCAGGACACTCTAGAGGCCATGGAAAGAAAACAAGGTGTTTGCTCAAAATTTTTTGATCTCTCAAGGGCCTTCGACA